CCACTCTGTCTCTGGTGAATCCTCTCACCCTCCCGTGCATCTGACCTGTACCCCGGTTCTTGTATAAAAATAAATAAATCTTAAAAAATATATATAAAGTTCAAGAGATGACCACACTATATATAACCTGACAACAAGAAGTCAAGGTGGTAAGCAAAATTCCCCTGTGAAAAGAATTCTTAGTTGGCTTGTTTGAGGAAATTCTTATTTTCAGTTACTTTGTGAATCCTCATTCTGGAGTGTATTCAATAGAGTAAGGGCTGTCACACTCTTTAAATTTCCGTAGTTATTGTGCCATCCAACAGAGTCCATAATTTGTATTTCTGCCCTCTGACTTAACAAAATCTTAGTGATAAAAGGGACACTATTAAATTATAGAAGGAAAAAACAAGGAAATAAACATATTTTAAAATTAAACTGATCTAAATTACATTAATTGAAATTTTCTTCTGTTGAGGAAGAAAATAATTCGATAATTATTCAAAAATTAATTTTTATTTTTGTACCTAACTAGATGATTGTTTTTATATTTTAGTGTTAAAAGCATATTGTTAAAAGTAAATTTATAAAATAACCATAAACACTCACATAACGGTAAACATTTTGAGCAAAAATAGAGAAATAAATATATTAATTTACTCAATTTTTATTTTGTTTCATTTTATGAGAACATTTACATGTGAAAACACATAGGAAAAGATAATTAAGCGAAAACAATGGGGGCTTCCCTGGTGGCCTATGGGTTAAGTCTCAGCTCTATCACTGGAGCAGCCTGAGTTCGATCCCCGGCCAGAAAGCTAACCCACATGTGGCGCAGCAGACCTCTCTGTCTCACCTGCTGCTCCCCTCAGCAGCGTATTTCAGTAGATCTGCCTTTTCTGCTCCCCACTCTGTCTCTGGTGAATCCTTGCACATCTGGCCTACACCCCAGTTCTTCTACACAATAAATAAATCTTTTAAAAAAGAAAAGAATGTATCATTACCTGAGAAATCAACATTGCAATATTTAAAGCAACAGAAAGGAACACGAATAAAAAGATTATATTATTTTGCAAAGTTATTGATTTTAGCTGTTAATTTGACTCTGACATCTTTGGTAACTAAAAGAAAATACAAATATGATCGGTGACATGATTTACATGTGTATAAGAAGTAAGATGGTTTTAGTAGAGGTGGTGAGAGTTTAATGCATAAAATTGGCACTGAAATAAATGTTTTTGGAAGCATATAAAGAAGAGTAAGTGATGTGTTATCCAAGTCTTGGTAACATCTCTATGTAGGCATAGAGCAGATTGTGCAATCTGGGGAGTGTTTTTACACAGAATATTTGTGAAATATCAAAGTATATTGAAGGCAATTCTGTTTGGGGCACGTCTAAACAGTGCCTCCCACACATTTACTTTTCTACTTCTTTAGATTGCCCTAAAAATAAATCATAGATTATATAAAAGTATAGGTTAACCACATATACTTTGTAAGAGTACCCATATAGTTCATAGCTTACTATAATATTTTATAACAAGAATTGGGTAGCTGACATTGGCAAAGGGTACTCTGGGTTGTATCTATTTTGTTATTCTTCATCAACTTTTTGGCCATGGAGAATAAAAATAAGTTATTAATCTGTGTACTTTCATAGAGACTTCTGGAACTTTCCATGTTGTTTTTCAATGTATCTCATCAAGGGTAGAGATCAAATATCATCTATCTTTGTATTCCAGCATCTAGCTGGAGTTCTGTATGCTTTCCTGAATAAACTATGCAGACTTTCCAAAACATCACCATTATTCATGTAGGATGAAAAGATCAAAATCACGCACTAACACAAAGGAACTTAATTTATGTCAAAACTATTTCTGGCATAATTTAAAAGTATTAACTGAAAGCAACATATTAACTGATATGTCAGTATGGATTAAAATAAAAACAGAAAACCATATAGAGAAATCTTCAAAATGTTCAATATGGATATATATATATCCATATATAGTATCAATAACATGATAGGTCAGCATTTACACAAATGAACTATGAAACAATGACCCTGCCCTACTTTCTAATCTTAGTGAGAATTAGATCAACAATGTTCATATTTTAAAAATTACATCAGAACATTTATTTATGGAACCATATTTATAGTTATAAAGTGGCAAGATAAAATCTTCAACCATGATAACAATTTTTGTTGTAGGGTCCATATATCAGCAATAGAATCATGTAACTTAGTTCTGCTTTCTTGATCTGGGCTTGCAAAGAAAATTTGGTGATTGTAGAACACAGTGTGGAAATACAGAGTGGAATAAACTGTAGAAAGCATTTGGACAATGTCAAAATCAAATTCAAATGTCAAACCCCTAAGTAGCTTGCCAATGATTAACTTATGAACTAATTTGAGTAGATTATTCTTGTTACAGCATAGAATCATACATAGATAGAAGAAAATTACCTCTGTTCATACTCTGTGATTGTATTGCCAGAACATAATATCTCTGGCACTTGCCACCTGAAGTGTGATCTTGAGAGTAGTTACTTCTGGCATCACCTGGGGTATTGTTACAAATGTATTATCTGAGACCCAAACTCACACTTGCATAATGAGAATCTGCATGTTAGCCAGATTCCCAGAGAATTCACATACCATTAAATTGCAATAAGCACTCTTTTAGTACATGGTACTAAAAAACAATGTGACTTTTAGCCATGAACATGTTACCATAAGAATATGCTTCTTCCACTTTCTCTTTCTTCCTTGGTGAGACAGATAGTTACAGGATGTTTAATAGTTTAAAAATACATTTTGACCAATTCCTACTAAAAATAATATGGAAGTTCCTCAGAATACTGAAAGTAGTTAAACTATGTGGTCCAACAATTCCACTTCCTGGTATTTGCCTGAAGAATGCAAAATTTGAAGAGAGAGCTACACTTGTATGTTCACTATAGCACTATTTACAATAGTCTAGTTGTGGAAACAACCTATGTGAAAGATGAGTGGATAAAGAAGTTGCACACACACACACAATGAAATACTACTCAGCTATACAAAAGGTGAACTATTGCCATTTGCAACAGCATGGATGGAGTTGGGGGGAGAGGGTATGCTAAATTAGAAATGTCAGAAGGACAACTACAGGATGGTTTCACTCATACGTGGAATATATAGAAACAAAACAAAGAAACAGACAAAACAAAACTAAAACAAACCCTAGAAATATGACTGCAGAATCAAGGGTAATAAGGGAGAAGTGAGGAGTTGGGGAACTAAAGGGGAAGGGGAGATGATATTTGATATCTACCCTTGATGAAATACATTGGAAAGCATCATGGCAAGTTCCAAAAATCTCTATGAAAGCACACAGATTAATAACTTATTTTTATTCTCCATGGCCAAAAACTTGATAAAGAATAACAAAATAGATACAAGCCACAGTACCTATATTTCATATCCTTCACCAATGTCAGCTACCCAACACTTGTTATAAAAAATTGTTTTAAGTTATGATTTATACGATGCTCTTATAAAGCATAGCCCAGTGGACTATGGTGGAAGATTATAGGTACTTTGGTAGTAGGTGTGGTGTGGTAAAATACATCTGAAGAGGTATGAGCCTACCCCCCTAAACCATATACAATGTAGTAAATCAATGTTGTCTTAAAAAAAAAGTGAAAATGAACAATATTTTATAGTGCTGACCATTGTCCAAATTTTGTAAGAATATGAAACTTCATAATTAATAAATACTCTTAATGACCATGTTTGTTTTCATTATTGACCTGTAGCACACATTTGCATTATGTTTTTACCATATTTTTATGAGGACAACCCAGTTCTATATATTCATTTTCCCAACCACTGGCAGCTCAATAATTCATAAGTTGAATTATTAATTTTTAAAGAAATCTACAAGTGTTTGCAACTTGTAGGTTCTGAATATAGTATCCAAACATAAACAGAATTGGAATCTCAGAAACTGAGTTTGGAATATGACAACACTTCTAAGTATGGATGAAGGGAGACTATTTTGTTGTTGTCACTGTTTTGTTTCTCTCTCAATGTGGTTTAGGCTTACAATGTATATAGCGTATTCAATATTGCTTAGAAAACGTGCCTCGCAACTACATCAGCGCTTTACCTGAGCTGTTCTCACTTGGTGGCTTATAGCTCGTTTTGGGGAAGGAAATCTCACTACGCAATACTTCAGCACTACGGACAGCGCCTAGGCTCTTGCTCCTGAGAAGGGGAACGGATTGCTTTTGGGTTTGCGCACCACAGAAAAAACTAGAGGAGTAGGGGAAAACAACTCAAAATGACGCATGCCGTCCTCAGCTAAATCCATACACCTTTCACTCACTCTATCCCTTATACGAGAAGAAACACGTAAGAATTTAACGCCTACTCTTGGGCTGATGCAGAGGTCACTGAGCACAGTTACATGACTATGGCACAGCTATTAATGCAGCGAGAAGGAAAACCGGGTTTCAACAATAAATTAACTGAACCCCCACTGCCCTAGGAAGCCAAGAGGGTGGCGAATTCCGATTGCTACCTGCAGAGTGTTATGTGAGGGAAAACGAGCGCCTTTTTTTTTTTTTTTTTTTTTTTTCAGAAGAACTGAAGAATAGAGCCTGTTGCTGTTCTAGTTGATTCCCTTCCCCCCTTGAGGTTTCTTCCTCTTCTCTCTCTCTCTCTCTCACATACCATCAGACACCCCCACATTTACACAGACACCCCCGCGTAAATATTTACACATTGCCACATCGAAGAAATCCATGCACATTTCCCTGCAAATACACACTCGCGCATACACGCACTTCGCGTACGCCCACATCCTCTGTCTCTGACAGACACTGACATTTACACACGTAGGCCAGGAAAGCGCTACCCACGGCCCTGTGACTCCATGCAGGTTCCCAGGACACGCCTTTTACATTGTTACTGAACCGATCAGCGAACACAGACAAACCTGCCAACACTTGTCTACTCGCTGGATTTCATCTCCATGGCAACAAGCATGGAAGGTGAGCCGTCGCTGCCTGTGAAATAACTTTCTCCCCCTACCTTCTGCATTAACTGACAGGGTTCCAGTGTAGGTCCAGATAAGAAGCCTGTCCTCATTCTCTTGTGTTTTTGAAGCTAGAGAGTGGCAAAGGGGAGGTGGGGGAGGGAAGGGGAAGGTGCCTGCAGATCTAGTGAGTTCAAATTCTGAAGGAGAGAGCCCTTGTGTTTCTGCTGCTGGAGGAAAAAATAAAAAAAAAAAGGATGTATTGTGTGTGTGCAGTCAGATTGCTGATGCTTCTCCCATAACGTTTTGTAGGTTTCCATGCTTCTTCAGTTTAATATGTCCAAAGAAAATTGGAGACAAACAGAACGAAAAAGACCGTTTAGGTTTCTCTAATAAGACATTTTGAGCATTTTTAGACCAGGTTTGCAGTAATTGAAAGCAAAGAGTGTCAGAGTCTTTGAGGAGCCACCCAACGATTCTCTTAAGAGAGGGGTTGTCTAAAGGGTAAAATCTGAAAGGTTCGGGGGAGATTGTGGTAGATTTCTAGGTTTTGAATCCCTGGGAAGGCCTGAAATTTACGTGCTTCATCATGATGATTTCTGGGTTTGTAATTTAGGATTTTCCTTAGACTATGGCACATCCCACTTAAAATGACTAACTAGCTCTGTGTAAATGTGACTTTAATAATGCTTCTTTTCCCTCTTTACTTCTAATAAGACTTAATAACCTTGATATTTGGTGTGAGGTATGTATGTGTGTGTATGAGAGATTCACTATTTTTTAAGCTTAGGTCTTCTTATATGTCTCATTTCATGAGATTATGGCTTTTCACTCCATTAACATTAGAGATAATTATATCTCATGACCACTATCAAAATACTTGTCACCAGTAAATCCTGTTCCACTATAACAGTTGCTATTTCAGATACACTGTTTGGAATATCATTTGTAGATAAATAAACAAGAGAAAAAACCTGTTGATCAAAATAAAATATAGAAGGTTCTTTTTATTAAGTACTTTTCACTATTGGTTTCTGCAATTGCATTTTGGAGATAAATTAAATAAGTACATGTCTCTGAAAATTGAATTTTTATAACTCCAACTAGTAAACATATTTCACAGAAGAAAAACATCACACACAGCATTCATGTATATGAAAGGCTATAAATTAGCTATAAAAATATACTTATGTTTGCTTGACTACTGCAATGGTATGATTTGTATGACTGAGCATAGAAAGACATTGTTTATTCTTATTTTGCTAACTCAAAACAACTCAGTGATATTTGGGTCTTTTAGTATCTACAAGTATACCTTTAACCCAATCCCATGATTTGTCAGAACTTAGAAATTCCAGTTCTTGCAATTCCCACAAAGGGAATGATGTGCTTTCAAGTCTGTTGCTCTTTTCTAAACCACCTAAACATTTATTCTGGTATGTATGATTTGAGGGATTATTTTAGCATTTGTAGTGGTATTGAAAAAGTATACTTAAATACTTAAATCACAATACATACAGACACTACCACTTAAACTGGACATTTACCCATTTTTTTTTGTACTGTAGCATATTAGAAGTAACTTTAACCACCACCAATTTTATATTTTACCCTCTTTTGAATATTTTTTTCCTCATAAAGGCTTATCATTCACATTTTTGTAAGCTTCATAGCCTAAATTACTCTCATATTTCTTTCATTATCTACTTCCCAGTAAACAGGATGTTAACATCATGGCTTTTCCTCTGAGGTAGGCATTGAAATCTGCTGTGCGCAAACTGCTGGGTTTTATTTTGTTTGTTTGTTTACCCATTTCTTCCAGAGATTAGAGAATGTGAAAATATATTTTTCAAAAAAAAGAAAAAAAGAAAAAGAAAATATATTTTTCACCTACGGTTGAGTCATTTAGCATACTTATTAATTATGAATATTCGAGGACATCTATTTATTCTTAGCAATTTTTATTATTTTTTATTTTTTATTATGAACAGTAGCTGTAGGTTCGTAATCATTTGATTTAATGAATTGTTTTTTAGTTAATTAACATTAAGATATCAAATGGCAAAAAAGTATTTTGCTTCAATTCAGCACATAATTTCTGAATGCTTTTGTTCTAGTTTTAGACTCTCAATTAGTAAGTGCTTAGGACTGGGAATTTGGTTGCAAAAGAACTGGGGAGCTCAACTTGAAGCTGAATTTATGTAAGATACATGCTGTTTAACTAGTATGTTCTAAAAGCTAATGGTGATGGTAGGGAGATGGCTAAGGGTCCATAGCTTCTATTGCTTATTACTCCCAGCTGTTACATTGGGTACTGCTCATACTACCATAATTTAAAAAAAAAAAAAAAAAAAACTTCTAGTTAAGAAATTGCCATTCAGTGTATACAGCAGCAGTGGAAAAGAAAATAAAGTACGGAAGTTCAAAAGCTAAAGGGATCAAAAGAGATAAGATAATGTACTTGTTGAAAAAGATCAGGCCCTGTATCTGGAGAAAAGGCATCAGAGATAGACTTTGAAATATGGACTTTAGGATGCTTGACCAGCTCACACCCCATGATTATTTATGGTGTTATTTACATGCGGAAAATGAAATGAACATTATGTGACAATTCGGGTCAAATCAGCAATGATTTAACCAACTTGTAATGAGTCAAGAGCTTTCAGAGTTATTTCAATATTGACTTTTATGTTTGATTTTATATTTAGAGTAAGTAGGCAAGGATAAGCATCCGCAAAGACAATTCTGTAATTACTATAGTTGAAGTAGCATCTCCAATTTAACTTGATTCTGATCCATATCTTACAATGTATTCAAACATTGTGAATCAAGTCAAGAGGGTTTGAAAAATGCCAGATTTATAAAACAATTACCTGTCCAATACCATTCATGGATAAAACTAAACTGAGTCCAATTTTGTATCTAGGACAAGTGGCGACTCCAGCAGAAATTCTGAAGACCTACGAGGATGTAATACTGAATAATGAGTAGTACCTACTGTGGAAACTCCTCAGCTAAGATGAGTGTCAATGAAGTATCAGCTTTCTCATTGACTCTGGAGCAAAAAACTGGCTTTGCTTTTGTTGGGATTTTGTGTATCTTCTTGGGACTCCTTATTATCAGATGCTTCAAAATCCTGTTAGACCCATACAGTAGCATGCCTTCCTCAACATGGGAAGATGAAGTTGAAGAGTTTGATAAAGGAACATTTGAATATGCACTTGCATGAGAGTTCAGCTTTGTGAGTTTTAGGGTTACCTCACTGGGACACGTGATTGATACAGTTGTACCTATTTTGAGTGTGCTGGAGAGATGCTGATTTCATTCACTGAATTCATTAAATGTGTGTGTTAAATTTATCCACCATGCCGGTCTCCTTGGTCTCCACATCAAGTTTTCTAAAGACAAAATCATAAGGATTGCTCCAGCCATATATGTCATCTTTGTTCTAACATCTGCCTTGAATCTCTGCTTCCTTTTTGTGCTAATGAACTGTGCTGGAGGGTTCCTGCTTCTGTCTCTGTGCAATGCCCAGCCATGCGCTCCACATTCTAGATTCCAGTTCCCTAATTTTGTGAATCAGGCATTTAAGACATAAGTAATCTGCAGTTCAAAGAATAAAGAGAAAATGATTTTCCTAAGAATAACAATTGGTCAAATGTGTTCACTGGTGAAAAAAATCTAAAGAACTAACACAAAGAACTAACCTAAAAATTAGCCACAAACACAAAATGTTCACAAATCTCACAATGCCTTGGTCCATATAGAATTTCTCTTGCAATAAAAGTCCCAAACAAGGGTCTAAACCATACTTGCTTCACACTGACACTGTCTTCCTTTCCTTTTATAAATAGTGTCAATTAGGGATTTTCCTGCCCTGACCTAGTAGGAAGAGTGCTCTACCACAAACCAGAAGTCCAGTCTGTGCTCTACACCATTATAACTACTCTTCTTCAAGTGAAATATGTAATCTCCATAGACTCAGTGAGGAAGCTAACCAGAGGCATTTTAATGTTTAATTCTAGAGTTCTAGGAACTCAGCAAATGTACCTGGAAACTTGGGGATATAAGATGAATAAGGATTATGCTGTCATGAAAAGTTTACAGTTTGAGTCTAAGCTCAGAGATTTGAATTCTAATTTAGGCAAGAACTAGACTTAGAACCTAGAGAGTTATCTATATTTATAACCAAGAAAGTTTTCCACAGCTGCAAAACAGATGAAGAAACCTGTCCTGCATAACTTGCAGGAATATTGAGAGGATCACATGACATATAATGACTGTGAAAGCAATTTAGAAATCAGAAAGCACTGTTTAAACATAACTCTGTCATTATTTATCATTCTCACGGTTAATATTAGTAGAGGTTTTCAAACCCCAAGAGCCAGTGGCTTAGTGTAAGGTATTCCGCCTCTTCACTTTCCGTTTGATAAATGAAAAGATAGAATTACATAATTCTAAAACTCTTTCCAACTACAAAATTGTGACTTTCTATGATCACTAAATGGAGAAAAATAGCAGGAGGTTAACACAAAAATATTTGTGTCATTTGAGAACACAGAATAGCCGAAGACAACAAGAAGAATAAGCTAACATTTATTGAATTAGCATTAAATTAGGTGCATTCCATTTATTAATGTGATTTGATACACTTCTCAAACCTTTGAATTTGGTACTACTATTTCCACTTTACTTTCTTAATTTTATGTAACTAACCAAGGTGATTAAGCTAGGGAGTAGTTATGTTAGGAATTGGTTGTATTCATGAATTTGGGCACTCCAACATGAGTTCTTATCTGTAAGCATTCTGCTATGCTCCTGGACATGTCCTCAACACTTTTACAGATCTTACAAATAAGTTGGTGGCACTAAAAACCAGCTTTCTCAGTCAGATTTCCTGGTTCTTTCCCTCTCCTAGTAGATTTAAAACATATCTGTGTTGGGGCCTCCCGGGTCGTGCAAAGGGTTAACTCCAAGCACTATCAAGCTATCATCAGCCACTGCTGCATGAGTTCAATCCCCAGCCAGGGAGCTAACCACATGGCACAGCAGACCTCTCCTGCCTCACCCACTGCTCCCCTCAGCAGTGTGTTTCAGTAGAGCTGCCTGTTCTGTGCCCCACTCTGTCTCTGGCAAAGCTTCTCACCCTTACACCTCTGGCCTACACTCCAGTTCTTAAATGCGTAAATAAAAACAAATCTTATAAAAAATAAAAAAATAAAACATACCTGCATTGCCTATGGGTCTTCTGGAACAAACCCATACCTCAGTGAGGCACCATGAACCCAGTATGTACAGGAGTATAGGCCTAGAACACCTTGCAGACAGTAATTTGGTCCAAGAATTCAGTTCAGCTCAGCTGGACATACTAAAAGTTGTGTATATCAGGACAGTAGACATCTCCTCTGTGACCCAGGCTTTTAAAGCACTCACTAAGATTTTAGTATACATATATATGTATATTAAATATGTGTGTGTCTTTATGTTTGTGCGTGTGTGTATATATATATATATATATATATATATACAGTTATTTGCAGTATAACTGCCTCTTCACTACATAAAGAGGCTTTATAGAGAGACATATATATAAACATAAAGTACTCACTAAGTTATGTACCAGGTGCCCCATTTTTCAGGGAGGACACTACTAAGACCCTCCATTTTGGTGATTAGAAAGTAGCAAGGCCATATCTTTATTTTGAAAAGATGAAAGGTCTCCTAAACCAAAAGACAAGAAAATTTCAAGAAGTAGAAGCATTTTTTTCTGAACATTCAACACCCTCAAGCTTCTCAGATATCACCCAACTCTACCATATTATTATTATTATTATTATTATTATTATTATTTGTGGGACCCTCGCCGGTGGCCAGGGCACGAACCGGTGCTGCAGAGGCTGCGGGCAGCCTCCCAGCCTAGCACTCAACCGCTGCGACACCAGGGGAAGCCCCCAACTCTACCATATTATTATTTCTAATCCCACTAAAGAGAAAATTCATCTAACCTAATGTGTCTTGATCCAGGATATTTATTTATGGCCTGTTGTGAGTCTTAGACTTTTGGGAGTTTGGGAAGGGGAAGGAAAAGAGAGGTTAGTGTTTGTATTTTCAGAACCATAACCAACATGAAGAATGTAAAGGCTATGAATATAAGGCTATGGATATGAATATAAAATGGAAACTTCACAAAGTACTAATCCTTGTAGGAAGAGATTTGTAGTGGCATAGCCAGACCAGCTTCTGGCTGTCCCTATCCTAGACCCCTGTCAGGAAGGGCAGGGGACAAGATAGAGGAGCAGTTCTCCAGACAATTTCCTCCTCTTACCTTACCCACTTGTCTGAAAGGCTAAGTCAGGTTTAACTTACAAGGTCATCCATATTCCCCAAACATTTCCTGTCTGCCCCAGAACACCTGAATTCCCTCAACAGAGAACAAAAACTTCCATTTCACAGAGATAGAGGGCTTAGAATGAAAATGTCTGGTTGATATAAGACCAAGACTAAAACTAATTCACACTAGACTGTAGTCAGGCAGTCAGACAGCAAGGAGAAAGGAAATTGACCACTATCAGAGGAGTTCACAGTCCTTGGAAGAGGAACAAGTTCCAAGAATAAATAGGTGGGCTCTTTAAAGAGAGGTGGGGTTGAGGAAGGAGCTGATATAAAAGGGGGATTAGAGGGGGCAGAAATAACTGCAAGTGAGTTCACAGCTCCTGTTCAGGGCCAGTGACTAGTACTTGTTTTGTGTCCTAGGCCCCTTTAGCTGATCTCCATATCCAGCCCCACCCAGCTAAATCTAAAATTCTACTAATTTCTATATTTGACTATCTACTTTGTGAGCAGTCATAACCTTTGGTAGAACACATACATGCCTTGCACCTTTGGACTTAAAGAGCAAAATGAGTTATAGGTACATATGTGTAGCTCTGTTTCTATTCTGATAGTCTCATGACCTTCGCATGACATTTACCTTACCGAGGGCATCTAAGAGGCTTTTCCTAGGTGCCTCCAGACCCCTTTGTACAATCTTATGCCTGTTCACCAACCTATTCTTTATCTTATTTTAATAGGACTAGTATATCCTAACCTCTACTGATTCCATGCAGAATCTTGGATGTGACAAAGTAAAATTTACCTGTCCATTGTAAATATTGCTAAAATAGTAAAAACAAGTGGTAAGTATAAACCAGTGCTGTTCTAAACCTTATACACAGTAACTCCACAAAAAGGTAGGTATCATTTTAACCCACAACTGCATTTTGAAGATGAGAAAGGCACAAAGACATTGAGTAACTTAGCAGAGGTCACACAGCTCGGAGGAGGCAGGGCCAGAATATAAATGGAATTGTCAAGCACTCTGAATCCAGGGATATTTCTTTTTAAACAATGCTATGCCTACTTGCTATATTCATTGATGCCTTTGTTTGAATTATCAGAATGATAATAAATAATTATGTTCCCTTTTTAAACAACAATAGCATTTATTTAACCAACAGGGAAACAAGTTGTTGTCCTTTTTTAATGTATTTTTTAACTGAAGTAAATAACATTGGTTTACAAAAGTGTACATGATTTAGAGGTACAGGTTCATACATCTTCAAACATATATGACCACCCACTAGCAAGGCACCCATAAACTTCCTCCATAGTCCATTGAGCCTCGTCTTTTGTTCCCTACCCCAGACCCTGCACCTATGGTAGCCTCAATTCTTAACCAATATATTGCACACAAGCCTGCTGCTCAGGAACTGGATATTGCTTGAATAGTTTCTTAGAAACTACAAGGAAGACTCATTCAGTCATTGCAATTGAAAACCAATGACAGGGCCTGAATAGAGGAATTGTTTGTCTTAATTGTGTTGTCTTACTTATCACTACCTCACAGATTTGCCTAAAACCTTCCCCTCAACAAAACTCAGAAACAGGTTTCACAAAACTTTCCTGCCACATGGAGACAAAAGGGTCACTTAGCAGTGCCACTGAGAAACTAACCCATACTTCGATTCCTGCTTGAAACTGTTTCCCCATTAGGTAGAAATTTTTTCAATACATCATTGACTCAAGTCTCAATCTACATTTCCCATACAGAGAAGAATGAAGGTTACACCTACTACAAGTAAGAGGAAATGATCTCAAATACCTTCTTCTAGTAACAAGGTATAGATATCATATCTGGAGGCGCCAAACTGACCCACAGGAGGTCACGAAGAATCACATGAAATAAGATGACAGGATTTAGTTTAGTTAGTCTCAAACAACTGAAGCACCGCTCATCTCTGGATGGATGATTGCTGTTGAGCAATTAACTCCCCTTATGAATTAAAGAAACTTTATTTTAATTCCTGTCTAAAAGGATTAATGGTTTACTACTAGTTACTGGTTGATGTAGTACTTAGGGCCCCGGGGCTAATGACTGTGCAGGACCTACAGTATTATTCCAGGCCAATCATTGCTCAGTCATCTCTTTCAAGGTAGAGTCTAACCAATAAGAAGAAGCCTGTTACTAGGTTGAAAGCTAAGTGCCCCATATATGCCTGGGTGATGCCCAAGCAGTTACATTCCTGAGAAGAAGGTTCCTGGGTGGTAAGTTGAATATTTCCGGGCAGAGTAAAAGTCACATTTAATATTATGCCTAATGTATATTCTAAGGAGAGGATAAACATGATGATGTGGAGACAATGAAGTGGGATATTCTATAAAAACTAAAGAGATAACAGTTTTGCTATGAATTTAATGAAAAGATTACTTGAGAGTTGAGATTTTCTTTAATTCAAAGAAGTACTTTGAATAGCTTCAGGAGAAAGACAAGTTTTTGTTAGTATTTCTCTATCTTTGAAAAATCAAATTAAGTTATTCAAAAAGAGATAATTATTCTAAAGAAAGGCTGTCCTTAGATGGACTCATTCCATGGGTTGTGAAGATGATTATGTAGTCTATCTTACAGTCAAATATAAACTTTCAATGAAGACTGAGAATATTTCATTAAAGAGAATCAGCAGACATGATTATTTTACCAAATATAGTATACAACTTTATGAAGAGCTGTGGCTTATTTCCTTAGCCTGATTACTAAAATGTTCTTTAAAGGTTCCAGAATATCATTTGTAAAACAAACAAATGTGTGAGCAAATGAAATATTTTGTAGGCTAGTAAAAGATCCAAGAATGTACAGAGACATCTTCTTGATAATATATTTTAATAAAGCAACAAGGATATATTTTTTAGAAGTTTTGAGTATATTTAAAATCTTATTCACCATATAATGCATGTTTATATTAGTCATATAATACATTGTAGTTTCAACATTTAGTACTGTCAACGGGTTGTTTCAGGCTGAGAATGTTCGTATCTGTTCTTATGGTACTCACTTGGTAGTTACAGCTTTTCTAATCACATTGAATCCAGCTGCACTGAGTTCTAGCAAGTACAACAAATACAGGTAACATTTTAATGACTCCATTGGAAATAGTATTTGCTGAAGCAGGTTCCTAGTTATTTATTATGGGATTTAAGGGCTCAGGTGATTAATGTTCCTGGACAGGTAATTTTCAGTGAAATGATTTAAATTTGTATGTCTTATGAAAGAAAACTGTTTCTTCATACATCCATCTCTGTTTAAATATATGTATATTACTTGGAACAAGTTTAATTTTCTTTTTTAATGACAGTTTTGAAGAACATTCAGAAGACTATACAGGAGACAATACATGAAGGACCTACTTATTGAATTCTTCTAGAACAAAAGGCAGAGGGTCCTTAGTGTAAAAACATTAGTGATTATTCTGAGGAGAAAAATAAGTAGTACTCTTAAAAAAAAAAAAAACAGCCATAAAATAGACAGCTCATTCCAAAAATTTCCATTTTGGAAGATGTCAGTAAACAACTCTTCCAGTGCATTTCTGGATGCAGTGCCCAGTAATACCAATCGCTTTCAAGTCAATGTCGTAAGTGAGATCCATGAGGGCAGTGCAGCTGCAGATGACAACGCTGCCCCTCCACATTATGAGGAAACCTCCTTTGGGGATGAAGCCCAGAACAGATTCAGAATCAGCTTCAGGCCTGGGAATCAGGAGTGCTATGACAATTTCCTCCAAAACGCGGAAACTGCTAAAGATGCCAGTTTTCATGCTTATGATACTCACACAAACACATACTACCTGCAAACCTTTGGCCACAACACCGTGGATGCTGTTCCCAAGATCGATTACTATCGCAACACCGGCAGCCTGAGTGGCCCCAAGGTCAACCGACCCAGCCTGCTTGAGATTCATGAGCAGCTCGCAAAGGTAAGCTTAAAGGATTATCATCCCTTCACCCTTTGGGTTTCCTGATCTTCAGTAACTTAATAGGAGGAATAAGGAAGAGCCAAATGAAGAGGTCTGTTCCAAGCCCACCATCTTACTTACACGACTCTCCCAGGTCCCAACAAACAGAAAATACACAAAAAGCATATCACAAATGTTTACTGACTGAGGACAGACAACTAGAGAATTAACTCTGAGCATGAGGTTCTATGTTGTACCTTGATTACAATTATAGCCCACTCGACTCACAGTTGGTTGAACACATCTAACTGAATACTAAGCAGGTTTCACCTCAGTATTAATGTCTCCATCACAGTTGTAAAAAAAAAAAAAAAAAAAAATCCCCTGGAGCTTGTTGCATTTAGTATAGTAGTGCCAGCCTTTAATGCATATGGGTAATTTTTTATTCTTTAAAGAGAGAGCAAGATTTACAAGTCAGTATTTTATCCCTTCCTCTTCAAAACTTTGCCTGAGGCTCTTGAATGCACTTAAGCATATAAAAGTAACTAAATTAAATTTAAGTATAGAAGCCGCAGAAGCGGCTAAACTTTTCATTATTTAGAGGATATAGCCAGGGTTCCCAAACTGCTAGAAGGATGAGGCAGCACTTTTTCTAATCTTGTAGCAAATCACTTATAACCTTAGTAGATTTCTTCTTCCAGACCTTGCTCTAAAATATGTTGATGCACTTTATCTCTCTATTCTTCTGGAATGAGTTTGGAAAGAATACCATTCTTTATGGCATGTAACTTCTTGTTAAGAAGAATAATTAGCTGTCACATATCCAAATGTAGTTTATTCTTGGCCAAGTTTTGAGGGAGGGAAAAAATTTGATTGGAACAATTTCTTTCCTATTCATTTGCTCAAAGTTTTAATTAGATGATTAGCTATTCTGGAGGTTCTAGGAATACTGCTCCCTAGGAAGATGCTAAGAAAACCAAACATCTCCTTTAATTTCTGCTTGTCATTCTTTCCACAAGGAAATACATCTCCAAAGCCTGTCCTTGGCTGCTGAGGGTCTCTGAATCTGGTCTTACCACCAGTGCATTCCTTCTGGAGTAGGGGCTGATGCTCTATCCCATTATCCCCCTCTCTCCACTAAACTTTACTGGTCCTAGGTGCTATATTACCACACTGTATGAAATCGCTGTTGCTGTTTTCTTTTTAATAGACATACAATTTAGATTTTATTTGAGATATTTGGTGCTTTAATCAAAATAAGCCAGCAGTGGGGCCTCCCTGGTGGCGCAAGGGGTTAAGACACAGTGTATGAAGCTATCCGCAGCCGCTGCAGCACGAGTTCGATCCCCTGGCTGGCCAGGGAGCTACCCACATGGTGCAGCAGACCTCTCCTGTCTCACTTGCTGCTCCCCTCAGCAGTGTACTTCAGTTGATCTGCCTGTTCTGTTCCCTGCTCTGCCTCTGCTGAATCCTTTCACCCCCCACACCTCTGGCCTATACCCTAGCTCGTGTCAACTCCACACAAAATGGCAGCCCCATAAAGATATTTGAAAAGAGGGGCAATTTAAGGTTCATGGAATCAGACTGCATTGTCCTTTCCTTTTCTATATCAGCGGAGAAGTGAGACAATGGAAAAGGAAAGAAGGAAAAAGAGGGTTCAGAGAAGAGGGCACAGGGAGCTTCCAAGATGTGGGAAAGGCAGAAGTATAAATTTAGGACATTTGCAGAGATTTGTCTTTGTTCTGAAGAAGTAAAATGAGTCCAAGTCCTCTTTAAATAAAGCACGTATAGTTGTATCCCCCTACGGTACATCATTACATGCCATAATTTAAAAAGCACAACCTTTCTTAAAATGGTGATCAAAATTTAAATATTCTCATTCACCCCTTGCCAATTTATGGCAAAAGAAAATACAATTTTAACTCCATTAAAAAATCACCAGAGTAAATGCAATTATTCTTAAGACTGATATTCCAGAGAGAATAAGAGTTTGTTTATAATTTCGGAACTTTTAAATAAGAGAAGAAAAGCTTTGAGGGCATTATTGTAAGAAAGCTATCTGAATGTCCTCACTGCAGGCATGCAACAGATGCATTTGACAGATTTGATAGATGTTTGGGATATCCTATTAGGTAAAATGAGACCAAGGACTCTGACTTAAAATATCTTTACTCGATACAAAGGAATAGCAAATTTAATAGATTCAAAACTAGGTTCAGTCTCAATGGCCTTAATAATCACTCTGAGCATATATAGTAATGTTATTCTTTTCATGAACTTGACCTTCACTTATCTAGACTACTTCTTGATTAAATCATGCAGAAGTGCCCACACAGTCAATCTGGGAGCAGAATTCAAATACAACCTAAGAATCTACATGGGGCATATTCCAGTAGCAGGGGCCATTCTGGCATTGCTGAAGTTGTAGGGAGGGGTCTGTCTGCTTCTTCATGTGCTCTACTTCTGTGCTGTCCTTAGATTGCAGGTATTAGCACTCTGGACTTCCTCAGTTCCTCTTTTTATTCCTTGCTAGGAAATTTGATTTGGCTATACCCCTAATCTCTTCCCCCCCTGAGCCAAATAAAAGACAAAGACCTGCAATGTAACGTGGCTATGCTGCCTCCTCCTTGGGGACCTTGACATATTTATGGTACCACCTTAAATCACAACTAGAAATGATCAACAGGACAAACCACATATACTAATACTCAAACACATCACAGACTTTGTATACAAAAAAATATAAGTAATAGTGTTTGCTTAAATTTAAATTGGAAAGTAATGCTCGAATCTAAGGTAGGTGATAATTTTTAGCACCCATGATTATAATGCTCCAAAAAGATAGCAATGGTACATCACTACTAAATGACAGAATATATTTAGTTAGAAGCCAGTTGGATTTTGTGCAAATCCTGATTGTAACTTCCATGTATGTCAGAGAAAAAAAATTACATGACAAGATTGCCTTAATAGGTAAAATGAAAAATAGGTTTGAAAGACATTATTTTTAAGTTTCTACCTTAAGTGAAACTCTAGGAATGATAGATATTGACAGAATATGTAATCCCAATGATTTGAGTTCATAGTTGAAGAAGTCCTTTTCATTTTCTGTGTAGTAAATAGCTAAATGCCTATACTGGTGGCTATGAATTATGGGTTTCTGAAAACTCTAGTTAAAAGCAGAAAAAAATGACTCCATCTTTTACCTGTTCTGCAATATTGTACAAGCTACATAACTTCAATTGATTTTGCAGGATGTTTGTGAATATTAGAGTTTATATGGATATAAAGCGAGCACATTGCCAACAATGGGTAGGAATGAAATAAATGGTTGTTAATGATGATGATGATCATTATTTTTATATCAGCTACTTTTTATTTAAAAAATAAAATATATACTGATAAAATATTTAACATGTACTAAAATATATATAATGAAATGTTTCTTATGTAACATCAGTCTTAAGTTATTCTCTCCAGGGCAACCATTACTGACAGTTTCTTATAAATCCTTAGAGAAATCTTCTATGACTATACAAACATACATATATTCTATATATATCTGTATTCCTAACTATCTAATATTCTGTCTGTATTGTTTTTCAAACACTTACTAGGAAATATTTTACAGGTTTCCCTGCACTTTGCTTGTTTTCTCTGTATAATATACTTCGGATATATTTCCATATCAAAACATCTATAATGATCATAAAACATATGGTACAGATTAATCTAGTATTTGTACTTTGTAAAAATAATTCTGCTTTTAACATCCAACCTATTTTTTTTTTAAATGAATGGGCTTGGAATGATCATTAAGCTTCATTTCATCTTTTTTTTTTTAAAGATTTATTTATTTATTTATACAAGCAGTGGGTACAGTCAGAAGTGCGGGAGGGTAAGAGAATCCACCAGAGCCAGAGCAGGGAGCAGAACAGGCAGACTGACGAAGTACATTGCTGAGGGGAAAAGCAGACGCAGCAGGAGAGGTCTGCGCACCATATGGGACCCTCGCAGGTGGCCGGGGATCGAACCGGCGCTGCAGAGACTGCAGGCAGCTTCGCAGCCCAGCGCTCAACCACTGTACCACCGGGGAGGCCCCCAACCTATTTCTTGTGGCCACATTTTTATACAAAATTCGTAACTACCAAAGTCAGTGTTCTTATGACATTGAAATAAACTGTCTATGTAAGTATAAAATACTATAAAAATTAAGCTGCAAATATTTTTCTATATAGAAACTGATACAAAATAAAAACAATACAATAATTCCACATTTGGGTCATTACATTGCTAGCCACTAAAATAAATTTTGAATAAGAACGTTAAGAATCACTCCCATTTAGTAATAAAAAAAACTTTTTATTGTGAAATTTTAATGTCAGACACAGTGCCCACACAATAAATTCTCATTCAATCCTTATAACACTTCATAATAGATACCATTATTATTGCTATTTTATAAATGGTGAAGTTTTATAAAACCCTATGAACCTTTTAGAAGAGAAAACAAAGACTTAGAGGTGGCAGTAAATTTCCAGGATCAAGAAGTCAGTGTCATATAGCTAATAAACTGAACCCATGTCTGAAATACTTGTGAGTCCGTGATCTTTATCACCATGTTCTGTCCTCAACCTATCTGCTGATGGCACTTTGTCTTAGCTTATTTGGTGGATATAGAAAAGGGTGGAACTTAGGCACAAAGAAGAAATCACACTTCAGCCATTAAGGTGGATGAAAGATAATGTCTGGATAAAAGATCGCCAATTCTCTCCTTGATTCAGAGACTGCCAAGAAATCATGTTGTTTCTTGAGCAGAATTATTTTCAGTCTCAAACATTTTCTTTCTTTTTTTTTTAAAGATTTATTTATTTATGCATATAAGAACTGGGCTGTAGGTGAGAGGTGCAGGAGGTAAGAGGATTTACCAGACAGAATGGGGAGTAGAACGGCAGATTTATTGAAATACACTGCTGAGGGGAGCAGCAGACAAGAAAGGAGAGATCTGCTGTGCCATGTGG